GCATAAGGGTATCTTTTTTTTTCCTCTTTAAATATTTGCTGTACTTTATCAATTACATATAATCATTACACATCTTCACAGGGTACAGAATGGTCTTTAAAAATATATAGATGGTGTGTAATAAACAAGTCGAGGATATGAACATATTCACCACCTTCAACATTTAACATTACATTACCTTGTGAACATTAAAAACCCACTCCAAGTTATTCTGCTATTATGTACTGAATTGTCTATGCCATTCTTTTCTGTGAGAAACAGTTCTAAAGAAAAACGTATTGATTAAGAATCAGGCAACAAAAGAATCTCGTAAAGTAACAAAGATAATCTTAACATAACCAATGAAAGAAAAATTTATAATTTCCTTGTAGAGGACTGTGGGAGATAACAGTTTATAATCTAGAAAATTCTGTGACTATCAATCATTGGTTCAGTCAAAGACAGGTCAAACTATACATAACAATAGCTCATAACAATAGCTCATTGGAAAGAGAGAGAAAAAGAACACTTTTACTCACTCATTGTGGGTTCTTTTAAGACCATAATACTGTACTGTGCATAAAGTAATAAGCCCTCAAAAAAGCAAATCAAAACAAAATTGAAAAGAGATGGTTAAAAGTGAAGACATAATAAAGCCAAGTGATTTAGAGATTCACAGGCTTTACAAAGTTTTTTATTTTATTTTAGCCTTTTTAAAATTCATCCCAAAGAAAAACTCTGCTACTTGTAACATTTGGGACTTTCCCTCTATTATCTAGATTTATACACTAATGGTTGTGTGGACTTACCCTTTTTTTCTAGTTGTTTTTCAGTATGTGTGGACTTACCCTTTTTTTCTAGTTGTTTTGTGTTCTTACTTCTCTCTCCCTTTACTTTTCCTGAGGTATTAGTCCCTTAAGTATTTCCTGAAGAGCAGGTTTCATTTTGGTGATTCTTTCGGCATTTTTATAAATCTAGGAAAGATTTTATTTCTCGTTCCCATTTGAAAGATAGTCTTGCTGGGTATCATCCTCTTGGCTGAAATTGTTTTCTTTCAGAATCTTAAATATGTTTTCCCATTCTTTCCTTGCCTCCATTTTTTCAGTTGAAAGATTCAACGTTAGTCTAATGGGGTAACTTTTGAAAGTAGCTTGATGCTTTTCTGTCATGTGAATATTGTCTTTGTTGGGAGTACAGATTGCATAATAGGTACGTTACTGGATTCCCACATAGTCTATCACAGATTGAGTCCCAGATCCAGTGGCTTAAAACACTCCAGGCACATGCATGTGCATGTATACCTAAAATCTTGAGAGGAGAATGGAGAAGGGATTGCAGTGTGGCCATCTCCGCAGGGGGTGATTTATCACTTTCTATCTATCTCTGACAAGCACACATGCCCTATAACAAAAATCTCTCTGAAAAAAAAAAGGATATTGTCTTTGTCTTTGATTTTTACAATTTGGCTGTGATATGCCTTGGAGAGGATCTTCTTACATTATATTTATTTGTTGTCCTTTGTATCTCCTGGATCTGGATGTCTGCATACCTCTAAACTTAGAGAATTTTCATTTAATATATTATCAAAGTTTTTTTTTACCTTTACATGTCTCTTCACGTTCTGGAATATCTATTATGCAGACATTCAGCCATCTAATGGTGTGTAAGATTTCCTATACATTGTCCTCATTTTTAGTGGTTATTTTTCTATTTCTGGTTTCTTGGACAAATTGGAGGTCTTATTTTTAGGATCAGTGATTCTTTCTTCCGTGTGGCCTAATTGGCTGTTGATACTTTCAAGGGAAGGTTTTGATTTCCTATATCGTATTCTTTAACTCCAGAAATCCTGTTGATTCTCCTTTATTGTGTCTGTCTTTTTATGGGATTCCTCCTTCAAATCATGGAAGGATTTTTTCATTTCCTGGAATTGGTTATCTGTTCTTTCTTGCATCTCATTGAGTTTTATTATAATGAATATTATAAATCCTTTTTCTGACATTTCTGTGACTTTTTTTGTGTTTTATCCATTGTAGGTGAGGAGTTGTGGTGGTGGGGGGGATATTTCTTGATTTGCTCTTATTTCTTGGGGGCTCTGCTTTGATTTTTAGTCATCTGGTGATATTCTCACTACTTCCTACTTCTTGAGAGTATGTTTCTGTAGTTGTATGCTTTTGTACTTCTCTATGATATATGTGAGTTCTACCAATTTCCCTCCTCTACTGTGGGTGGAATGTAGATTCCACAGTAGGAGTTTAGGGTTCAAGTTTTCAGAGTAGAATTTATCTCTTTTTACTGCAAAGGGAGTTATGGGGAATGAATTCCTCCAGAGTCTCCTGTTTTCAAGTGTTTGGTTCTTGTATACCCAGACCTAACAGCTCCCAGTGTGGATGGAGGCTGAGCTGAAAGGTAAAATGTAAGGTGGTTGATGAGCATGCCATGCGGGCTAGAGAGTCTCCTCTTTCCCCACAGCAGGCTGAGTGGAGGTCCATTTTATTTTCTCTTTTCTTTTTTAGAGAGAGATTTTTGCTGTGGAGTGCGTGCACTCAACAGAGAGACAGAGGGCGAGAAATCATCCCCTGGGGGGATGGCCATGCCACAATCCATTCTCCTCCATTCTCCTCTCAGGATTTTGGACATGCACACACATACACCTGGTGTGAGTTTCAAGCTACCAGGTCTGGGACTTGAACTGCGATGGACTATGTGGGAGTTCAACAATGTAACCACTACACCATCTGCTGGTCCTTGCTGATAAGCTCAAACTGATCAGCTTGGTGTGAGCCTGGCTATTGGTCCTTCTGTCTCTTGGGACTGCATGGTCTCCCTGTTGCTCCTTCTCTTTCTGAGATTGCAAGAAACCACACCACCTGCTGGCCCCTCTATGCCTTTTCAATTCCTAGACTTTTATCTAAAAATCATTCGTATTCCCAAAAGAAGTAAGCAGCATAATTTAATTAGTTCCTATTTAAAATGTAACATTTTCCCAAGCAAATTTGTTTTTTTGTTAAATGATCCAAATAACAATAAACAAATGTTTTTGCTAATCTCTCTGTCACAGAAGTTTAATTCCAATACTAGGCCAATAGGAAACCTCAGAAAAGAAACAAGTAGCCAGGGGAGACTTGTACAAAAATTCTACTCTGAGTTGTACACTCTACTCTAATGGCTCTAGAACATTGTTTCCTTCAAATTGTTTTCTTCTATTACTATGCTATAGTAGGAGAAGAAAATTAGCAACTAAAATACCACATTGGCTTTAAAATGTAACGAAACTTGGCTCAGCCACTATGTCGCCACAGTAACACAAGTGCCCTGAAGACTGGAAGCCACCCGGCATCTTCAGATTCTGATTCCCAGGTCAGCCTAAAAACACACCACATCCAAATCTAAGTGCCCAGGATCGTGGGGAGCTGGAGAGCCGGGGAAGCGGGAATGGGGTATGAGGACATCCTGTTGGAGGTGCTTCTTTCCCTCTCTGTTTCTATCTCTCATGTGTGTATGTACCTCCAGCATGTGAAAGAAAGAAGGAAGGAAGGAAGGAAGGAAGGAAGGACGGACAGACAGGAAAGAAAGAAAAGAAAGGAAAGAAAGTAACAAACCTGAAAAATCTAGTCAAGAAAGATATGGTATATACACACCAATCAATTTTTTTTCCAAGAGGTTTTTTTCCTTAGGGCGTGTGAGCTAGCTGAAGAAAGAGACAGAGACAGTGAGACAGAAAGTGGCCCCCCAGGGAAATGACCACGCAGCAATCTTTTCTCCTCCAGTCTCATCTTGGGCATGGAAGCACATGCACCCAGCATGCACCGAGAGCGAGTTTCAAGTCACCGGGTCCGGGACTCAACCGTGGTCAGCTATGTGGGAGTTCAACAATGTAACCACTACACCATCTGCTGGTCCTTGCTGATAAGCTCAAACTGATCAGCTTGGTGTGAGCCTGGCTATTGGTCCTTCTGTCTCTTGGGACTGCATGGTCTCCCTGTTGCTCCTTCTCTTTCTGAGATTGCAAGAACCAGGTATTGGTTCTTGAAGGCTGGAGAGCTTCTCCTCTCCCACAGCAAGATGGACAGGAGTCCCTGCTGACGAGCTCAAGCTGAGCAGCTTGGGGTGGGCCTCAAGAGTATCCCTTGTTAGGAAGGTGAAGAGAAATAGTGGAATTTGACCTTGGAACTAACTGCTTACCTCAGAACATCTGTCTCATCTTCACATCCTTCAAATGGGCTTTAAGGAGCATTTTATGAAATAATAGATGTCACGTGTATATATCTGACATGTAGTTTGGATTTAATTAATGCTTCTTAAGTTTTAAAAGTCTTCGTGTGTGGCTTATTTAACTAATTGCAACGCAAATACTTCATTTTCAATATAAAAGCTGAGGTGACTGGATTATGGAGCAGTGCTCAGCTTCTCTGAAACTTTGATCTTAAGTTAAATAATTATTTTGTTTGCAACTTAATAGTGTATCCCCCTTCCCTACCCTAGTGTACTCATTAAGCCATTTCAAGTATCTAAGAATAGTCTTTAAAAGTCAAAGAATTTCTGTTTCAATAAAGCTCCTATATGGCACATTTAATTGTCTGAGGGATGAGACAACTTTAAATATGTCAAGTTCCTCATTCTCTTTTCCAACATGATTTCACTGTGGGGAATGGATGGGGAGAGAATGGAAAGAGATACGAAATTTGCCATTTGAATGTTAAACATCAGGTTAGGAAGTGTGCCAAATATTCTGTGATTATGGTGTTAGGGTAATTAGCTCTTTGTTAACCATTAAACTTTCATTTGAGAACTTCTGTATAATCAAAAGACAAATTCATTCAGAAACTTTGACAATGATGACTGATGATTGGTTGTCTAGCTATTTCAAACATCCCAGATAATTATTTTCAAGTCACTCTTCCCCTTGTTTTGAAGGCCAACCCTCTACCCCTCTGGAGAGTCTCTGCCTTGTTTCTGCTTTACATTGACTGTCCAGCACATTCTCTATTCTGTTTTCACTTTGACTTGCCCTCTGTGTTTAGGAGTGAGCGAGCCCGCTGGATAACTGCCCTGGGACACAGCAGCGGGAAGCAGCCTCCTGACCGAACCTGTAAGTTCCAAGGGCCACCTGCTCTGGATCATGGAGGGGCTCTGCCCCCTGCTGGATGCTGGGTTAATAAAGGATTGCACCACCACAGTACTTGCTTCCAGTGTCCTTCAAGGTTTCCTTCATTCCTGCCTTTCAGCAGAACTGTGTGATCCTTGCTTTGCAAGTCAGGAGGTCTGAATTCAAATCCAAAGTGCAGTTCTTCTTGGTAGTGTAAGTGTGGCAAATCATTGCTTAGCCTTTCCATAACTTTTCCAGTCACCTGCAACTCAGGTATATTGTTATATACAACATGGAATTATTATGAGGATTAAGTTAAATAATATAAATCGAGAGCTCTACTTGAACTGTAGAGCTTTTGAATTGTATCTATTATTAATTGACAGTTATTGGAAGGTTAAGCCTTCTTTACCCTGGCAGTTTGAATCTAAGCTGAAAAGTATTTTTAGCATAAAAATATTATGTAGCAATTTCTTTTCGCTTTTCTTATTAAGTGATAATGTTAAGTGATCATGTTAAGAAAAAGTATTTCATTCTTATAAGGAACTAGGAACTTTTGCAATAAAGCATGATACCCTGTGTTCCTTGACTTTGATATTATTGCTTCTGAATGAATCTAGTTGGAAAGTCAAATTCAAAGAATTAGAGCGATGGATGAAAACCGTCACTATGACCTTAGAGTCAAGCCAAAGTGATTGGTGGAAAAGTTCCCTAGAACTAAGTTTTAGATATAAAAAGATTACCTAAGAAGTTATGTCGGTCAGTGCTAAGTCACTGACTTGTTTTATTTTAAGCATCGGCATTTTCAGGGGGACTTTAAAATGTCTTCTAGGCATGGTTGGAACTCCTTTTATTTCAAACATTAGCAGCTTTTAGGCACTGCTGCTGGGGGTGGAGAAGTGCCCTGGATGAGATCCAGAGGACGGGATGCACTGCAGATTTCACTGTTACATGGCCTTGGCAGGACACTGCTTTCTTGCCTCAGTTTCCCTGGTGCGTCGTGGCTGTTTTCTGCTCCAGTATGTGTATGATGGGTGACTGCTTGTCAAGCCTATCAAGGGATTCACGTGTTATAAAAAGGTCTCTCGAATCCAAGCTTTTAAAATTCTGACCTTTGTAACCATGTCAGAGTTCCTAGAAAAGATTTTCTGCTTCTTGATAGAAGACCATCTTGGTCTGTCAATGAAAGTGACTGAGTACCTGCCACGGCTGGTTTGTGCCAATTCTGGTTTTCCTCAGGATGTCCCCTTTCTTCTGCAGCACTGACTCAGGTGGAAATTGTTAGGTCATTTACTGCGAAGCAGCCAGACGAGCTCTCCCTGCAGGTGGCAGACGTGGTCCTCATATACCAACGCGTCGGTGATGGTGAGTGGCATTGTTCTACTTTAATTAATTAATTAATTAATTAATTTTTGAGAGAGATTTTTGTTACAGGGCATGTGCACTCACCAGAGAGACAGAGAGATGGAGGGAGAGAAAGTGAGAAATCACCCCCCCCCCGGGGAGGATGGACATGTTACAGTCCTTTCTCCTCTTGGGATTTTGGGCACACATGCACATGCACCAGGTATGAGTTTCAAGCCACTGGGTTCGAAACTCGAACTGTGATCAGCCACATGGGAGTCCAGCACCTTGTTCTAATGGGGTCTGTCTAGCATTATGTTGCTTGGGACCCTAGTGGTTTCATTTTCTCGTGAATGCCCATAGTCCATATCCAGATGCATTAATGTTTGGGATCACATGTATATCCATCTTCTCTCTGAGGCTGGCTTTGCTTCTCTGTTATTCCTTTTTCTCTTTCCCCAGACTTGATTTCTTCCATCAGTAGCTCCTCAGAGCTCTGTGACCAATTTAGAGAGGTGTTTTAGGGATTGATGCCCGTGGAAAAGTTCACAATCTTTCTCTTTATACTTACTTTTACCTCTCACTTTCTACATTTTATCCTTTATCTACACTTTTCATTTGTTTTTTTTTTGAAATAGGGATGTGGTGACATGTTTTGTTATTCAAAAGAAAACAAAAAGCTTTCATTATTCCCAGTCTACCAGCAATCTCTCATCTCCAAAAACTTTCTATACTTAAACTTTTTCCCCTCCTGCTCCTGCCCAAACCATCTTCTTCCCCAGCTCAGGCCAACCTCACATACTCTCTCAACCCTCTCACCTTAAGGCTTCTATTCATGATCTGTCCTTGGTATGTCATTCATTCTCTCTTGAAACCTTTCTCTCTATCCACCTCTTCTCACCTTTCATCACTCATGGTACCCAGTTTGGGAAGGGTAGCTGCCTCTGGGCTGCTCTCATAGCTTCCTTGGAGCCTGGCACAGCACAGATTCCTCCACATTCTTATTACTTGATGCAGACTCTTGCTTTTTCTTACAGGCTGGTATGAGGGGGAACGACTTCGAGATGGAGAAAGAGGCTGGTTTCCTATGGAATGTGCCAAGGAGATAACTTGTCAAGCTACAATTGATAAGAATGTGGAGAGAATGGGACGTTTGCTAGGACTGGAGACCAACGTGTAACCTCTCAGATGACCCTTTCGTTACTGCAAGATTTGCACTACACAATGGTGGGCTGGTTGGTTCGGGCTGGTTTCATTAACTTTATCACAGTCTATTTCATTTTCTTTCTTTCTTTTTTTTTTTTTTGGAGAGGTTTTTGCTATAGGGTGCGTGTGCTTGCCAGAAAGACAGAGAGAGACAGAGAGATAGAAAGCGAGAAATCACCCCCCCCCCCAAGGGGGGGGGCCGCCCCACGCCGCAATCCCTTCTCCTCCATTCTCCTCTCGGGATCTTGGGCACACACGCACACGTGCCCCGTGTGAGTTTTAAGCCACCGGGTTCGGGACTCGAACCATGGTTGACTACATGGGAGTCCAGCGACATAGCCATTACAGTAACTGCTGGTCCCACAGTCTATTTAATTAAGAGAATGGAAACACTTTGCTTTTAAGTTTGCCAGGTTGTTCTGTTTTAGAACAGCCAGTGGATACAGTTAGTTCACTCCTTGCAAACCTCTCTAGGTACACAGAATATCCGAGCAGTCCATTTCAGGGATCAGGCAGTCTCCCCTCCTCCCAGTTTCATCATGTTCTAACTTTAAAAAAAAAAAAGTAACATTACTATTCCTCTTTAAACATGTCTTTTTTTATGGTTCTTCCAGTATTAGCCAGATTTTATATCTTCAAGGAAGGCCCAGTTTTGTAAATATTTGTCCTGCCTCTGGTTTTACCTTTTTTACATCTGATTCTAATGCTGTTAATTTCATAAGGATCTGGTAGAGTTCATAAGGTAAGCTGTTATATTTTTTTAAACCTCTTCCCTGAAAAGGGAAATTGACACTTGAATTTTTGCCACCTTTTTCCTCAGTAGAAGGAAAGTAAGGAGCTTTACTGTAAGGATTTTTTTAAAAATCCATCTCACCCAATATTGGTTTTAGATATGTCTAGCCTAATAAACCTAAGCTACTTTAAATGACATTGAATTTAGATGGTTCACGTATGTGAGAAAATTCTGAACAAGGGTCAGAATAGGACAAGGATCCTACTTTTTCTTAATATTCCCAAATAAGCTGATAAAACTGACATGAGGCTGCTTTGCCTTTACTAATGCATCATTTTGGACTACTCCTACTTCAGTTTCTAAATAGAAGACTGGTTGAAACACACTTCAGCATTCTAAAGGAAAAATTAGAATCATAATCTATCAAGAAGCCAGCATAGTACCTAACTGAAAAATTCTGACCTTATGGGAATCCATTCTATTTGCACTAAAGGTCTTGCTTGCTGGTTTTGGAGGCTCTTAACTGCAGGTTTCTGTAGAACTGTGTTTCTTCCACTAGTGCAGAGAGAGAGAAAAGTAACTTTAATAGTAGGTTCCAAAAGGAAATGAAGGTTTGGAAGACTGAGAGAGGAGAAATTACCTTTACTGGCAGCTATGTTTCCTTTCTACTCTTCTCTTCGACAAAGGGATAAAACCTGGCAAAGTGTACATACATCAGTGGAGGACCCAGATCTGTGTGAGTCAGGTTCCAGAAGCCCAGTGTGGAGGTAAGTGTTTGCACACACACCATGCACCCTGCCACTTCAGCAGTGGAGCATTGAGAGGCTTCTCACCTCCGGTCGTAAAGGATATCTCAGGCCTTTGAGTTCCTTGAGATCTGGGCAAATATGTCAATGAAGTTATAGCAGTGGATGTAGCAGGAGATATCTTGGAGTTTGTAAAACAGGAAGTCTGTCTTCTCTTTAACAGTGTCACAGAGTTCTTAGAGGAGAAGCTAACAGCTATAATTTAATGTCATGTTTTATTTAGAAAGGAAGGTAAATCTATTGCTTGTGGGGAGAGTATCATCATTTTGCCTTTTTGCTAATAACCAGTTGATGCTAAAAAGGAACTATGAATCCTGTAAATTAATTTGTAAGTAGAAATGTTAAGCAGTTTTAGAAGTATGTGCATCTTATAAATCAAACCTTACTTAACAAGCAGATTGATAATGTTATTAAAGTGTTGTTGAACAGCGAGTATTTAACACATGCACAAGTTTCATTTCAACCGTGAGTTGTTGTTTTTAACATGGCACAGTATTTTTTGAACCTTATTCGGTTTTTATGAATACTTTCTCTGAAATGTACAGTGATTTCATTTGTAGAGAAAAAAAATTCATTTTTGTCCCAGTAAATGGAGACTGCTTGTACACTTGGAGCAAAATATGTGAATTTATAAAGATTTTGTATGTACTTAAATCTTTATAAATTCACAGTATTTTTTGAACCTTATTCAGTTTTTATGAATACTTTCTCTGAAATGTACAGTGATTTCATTTGTAGAGAAAAAAATATTCATTTTTGTCCCAATAAATGGAGACTGCTTGTACATTTAGAGCAAAATATGTGAATTTATAAAGATTTTGTATGTACTTATCCTTTGGTGCTGGTGTGATTTCTTTTCCTCTAGGTTGTTGTTGTTTTCAATTATATGGTTTCCTGGATTTGGGGCCAAATCAGAGTTCTACTCAAAAGGGAACTGGGAGCTGACTTTACAGGGACTAATCTTCCCTCTGAGTACATGCTGATGTCAACTGTCATAGAAGACTGGTGCGTTTGTTTGTTTGTTTGTTTGTTTTTAGAGGTTTTTGCTATAGTGCACGTGTGTTCGCCAGAAAGAGAGACGGAGAGACAGAAAGCGAGAAATCACCTCCCAAGGGGGATGGGCACGCCACAATCCCTTCTCCTCCATTCTCTCAGAATCTTGGGCACGCATGCACACGTGCCTGGCGTGAGTTTAAGCCACTGGGTCTGAGACTCGAACCACGGTTGACTACATGAGAGTCCAGTGACATAGCCATTATGCCAACTGCTGGTCCTGAGACTGGAGCATTTTAAAGAGAGGCCATGCTGTTTCTTTCTCTCTTTTTTTTTAATTTTTGGAGAGGTTTTTGCTATAGGGCACGTGCGCTCTCCAGAAAGACAGAGAGATAGAAAGCAAGAAATCACCCCCTAGGGGGGATGGCTATGCCGCAATCCCTTCTCCTCCACTCTCCTCTCAGGATCTTGGGCATGCATGCACACGTGCCCGGCGTGAGTTTAAGCCACTGGATCCGGGACTCGAACTGCGGTCGGCTGCGAGGGAGTTCAGCAACATAACCATTACGCTAACTGCTGGTCCCCCATGCTGTTTCTTTCTATGGTCACTCCAAAACTGCAGGGCTGACTACCTTAAGCAGTGCAGTACTTTTACTGCTCTTTGTCTTTGGGAGCACTTCTTAGCCCCTCTGGCCACCCAGTATCTGAACCTTTGTGTCTGAAATTTTACCACCTTGTGAATCTTGTTGGGAGGCAAAGACTTACTCCTGCTACATTAGTTTTCCATTACTGCTTCTATTATCACAACGTAGTGGCTTAAAACAACATTCATATATTATCTCACAGTTCTGTAGTCAGAAGTCCCGGATGCCGAGGTTGGGTTTTCTACCTAAGAGTCTCAGAGGCCCAAATCAAAAGTGTGAGCTGGCTCTTTCTCATCTGAAGCTTGGTGTCTTCTTTCAAGCTCATTCCTGTTATTGGCAGAATTCACTTCCTTGAGATAGAACTGAGGTTCCTGTTTCCTGGCTGGGTGCTAGCCAGAGGCTGCTTGAAGCTTCTGAAGGCCATCTGTCTTCCTTGACACCTGGTTTCTTCCATCTTAAGTCAGCAAGTCACCACTTGGAATCCTCTCACACTTGGAATCTCTGTGATTTCTGCTTATGCTATAAGCAGGAGAAAACTCTGCTTTTCAAGAGCTATGCAATTAGGTTAGGCTCATGGGATAATCTCCTTTCTGATTAACTCAGAATCAACTGATTTGGGAACTTATTTAGATCTACAAAATTCCTTTGCCATGTGCATAAAATAATCACAGATATAACACCAAGTTGTTAGAAATCGGGCTGGAGGGGTGGCGTACTTTTAAATTTTGCCTACAACACCCTCCATAAAACTTTAATATGCTAGATATTTAGTTTCTCAGATAAGATACAGCCATGTGATAGGAAACACCAATCAGATACATCTACCATAGGATACACCAATCTAAGACATCCTTATTGGATTTTCACTCAAGCTCGTTATGAAAGAGGAGCGAGATTGGGCCTATCGTTTGTCTTCATTTTCTTTTTTTTTTTTAAGAGAGATTTTTGCTACAGGGCACTTGCTGGAGAGGCAGAAAGCAGGAACTCACCCCCTGGGGGGATGGCCATGCAGAGATCCCTTCTCCATTCTCCATTCTCCTCTTGGGATTTTGGGCATGCACACATACGCACCTAGTGTGAATTCTAAGTTGCTGGGTCTGGGACTCGAATCACAGTCAGTTACGTGGGTGTCCAGTGACGTAACCATTATGTTATCTGCTGGTCCTTCGGGCATGCCATTTCTGGAAGTAGCAAGGTGCATCACCCCTCTTTGCTCCAACCCCTCTCTCTGATTGCTGCTGCATTTTCCCTGGATTTTGGGAAGCAGCATAGAGGCAGAATACTTCGATGACTTGCAGTGCTAAAATGATGCAGGTGAGTTTAGTGCCTGGGATCAACAGGTGGAGTAGCGGTTATGCCGTTGTGCCTACCATTTAAACCTTTGTTGTGGACTGAGTCCCTAAGAGGCTTATCCAGAACAGTATGAACCTTAAAAACCCTAAAGTTTAAGAATTCTAGCCTCTGACCTTCTAGCATATGAAAATCAAATCAAAATGTCTCACCAGAGGAAACTAGCATCATCTTAGTTCTCAATTATTTTTAAAAAGAATTATTTAATTTTATTTATTCCTTCATTTATTTTAATTTGATCAGAGAGAGACACAGAGAGAGAGAGAAGGAAAATGAGAAAGCAAGTCACCAGGTCCAGGGCTTGAACCATGGTTGGCCATGTGAGAGTGTCCAGCACCTTAACCACCATGCCACCTGCTGGTCCCCAAAAAGCAAGTTATCAAATTAAAGATTCAGCAAACAGTAGCAGATGGTTACATCACTGGACTCCCATGTAGTCGACAGTGGTTCGAGTCTTGGACCTGGTGGCTTAAAAGACTTATGCTGGCTG